TGGGCTCAGTGGCTTAGTCTGTAATCCCAGCACTTTGGGAGGCTGAGGCGAGTAGATTGCCTGAGCCCATGGGTTCGAGACCCACCCAGGCAACTTGGTAAGACCTCGTCTCTACAATAAATCAAAAATTAGCCGGGCATGGTAGTGCGTGCCTGTAGTTCCGGCTACTTGGAAGGCTGAGGCAGAAGGATCACAGGTGCCCAGCAGGTCAAGGCTGTGGTGGCCGGGAGTGTGCCACTGCACTCCAATCTGGGTGACAGAGTAAGACTCCAACTCAAAGAAAAAAAAAATGTTCGAGGAACTAAAGATACTCATTTCTAAAAAAGAAAAAATAAATTCTATTAAATTCTAGAAAAAAGCATAATAACTAAAATAAAAATTTACCAGAGAGAATTAACAGCAGAGTTGAGCAAGCAGAAGAAAGAATTAGCAAATTTGAAGATAAATTGATACAATCTAGTCTAAGGAACAGGAAGAAAAAAAGATGAAAAATTAAAAGGTCCTTAATGGCTTGGAGGATGTACCAACATATTCATAACAGAAGTCCAGAAAAAGAGGACAGAATGGATCAGAAGAAATGTTTGACAACACACTGGCTGAAAACTTCTTAGATTTAATTAAAAACATCAGTCTACACATCCAAGAAGTACAAAACTCATAAGTAATAAACTCAGGAGTCACACTTAAACACATTGTAATCAAACCATCAAAAGTCAGACATGGGCTGGGCTCGATGGCTCAGCCTGTAATCCCAGCTCTTTGAGAGGTTGAGGCAGTGGAATGCCTGAGCCCACGGGTTCAAGACCAGCCCGGGAAACTTGGCGTGATCTTGTCTCTACAATAAATAAAAAATTAGCGAGGCGTGGTAGTGCATGCCTATAGTCACAGCTATTTGGAAGGCTGAGGTGGAAGGATTGCCAGTGCCCAGCAGGTCAATGCTAGGGTGGCCTTGAGTGTGCCACTGCACTCCAGCTTGGATGACAGAGTGAGACTCCAACTCAAAAAAAAAAAAGTCAGACATAGAAAATCTTGAAAATGTCAGGAGACAAGCAACTCATCAGATAAAGTGGAGTGTCAGAACAATTAACACCTGACTTCTCACCAAAATTCATGGGCCCAAAAGGAAGAGGGATGACATATTCAAGGTGCTGAAAATAAATGTGGAAAAACTGAACCCTCATACATTGTCTGTGGAATGGGCATTTCCTTAAAATGTTAGATGTATAGTTACTTCTAGTCCCAGCAATTCCACTCCTAGGTATATACCCAAGTGAGTTAAAAATGTATGTCCATGCAAAAATTTGTACATGAATGCTCATAGCACCATTATTTATAATACTCAAAAAGTATTCCTCAATATGTGAGCTTTCAAAAATGTAGTATATTCTTATAGTAAAGTATTAATTGACAATTTAAAAAGTACTGATCAATGCTACAACATGTATGAAGCTTGAAAACATTATACAAAAGAAGTCAGTCACAAAATATCCCTTATTGTATGATTCTATTCATATTAAATGTCTAGAATAGTCAAATTCTGAAAATAAATGAGTGGTTTCCAGGGGCTGAGAAGAAGAGGAATGGTAGTTTGCTACTGATGGATATGGAACTTCTTTTTAGGGTTACAAAAATGTTCTAGGATTAGATGGTTATAATGGTTGCACAACTCTGTGTAAGTATATTAAAACCACTAATTGTATACTTTAAACATATGAATGTTATAGTATATGAACTATACCTCAATACAGCTGGCATTTAAAAAATGTAATTAACATTTAAAAAATCATATATTATCTTAACAGATATAGAAAAAATATTTGATGAAATTCAAAACCTATTCATGATTTTTAAAAAATTCTTAGCAAGCTACAAATAGTAAAAAGCTTCCTTAATCTTACCAAGAGTTTTCATAAAAGTCTTTCAGCAAATGTCATAATTAAAGGTGAAATATTGAAAAGTTTATCTTTGACATAGAAGAAACAAAAGACATAATGATTAGGAAGGAGGAAGTAAACTTTCATTATTGTAGATGACATGAATGTGTACTTAGAAAATACAAATGAATTTACAGGCAAACTATAAAAATTATTAAGTGATTTAGCAATCTTGGATACAAAAAAAACAGGAAAAAAAATTTTAAAATATATTATCTACAATAACATCAAAAATACCAGAGACTTGCAAATAACCTTAAGCAAAGATGTGCACGATCTCTATGGCTAAAACTATTAACACAATATTGAGATAAATTTTAAAATACCTCATTTAAAATATCTAATTAAATGTTACCATAGTATATCATTTTCCCAGGTTGGAAGACTCAATGTTGTCAAGCAATTCGCCCCATTTTGATCTATAGATTTAATGTAATCCAAATGTAATAACAAAACAAAGACAGCAATCATGGAAATTACAAGATGATTTTTAAAATTACATTAAATGCAAAGGGCCAAAAAGCCAAACAATCTTTATGAAGAAGAACAAAGAGAATAGATGTATAATATTCAAAATAAAGAGTTATAGTAAAGTTAATAGTAAACCAGGCAGTGTAGTTTTGGCTTAATTCTATTTTTAATTCTGTCAGATAGAGTCCAGAGGTAGATATAGACATAATCAATCATTTGATTGATAACAATAGTAATATTGTTATCAATATTACAGTACAGAGGGAAAGAATTGTCCTCTAAATAAATGGAGTGTGCATAAGTGGACCTTGAGCCATTATCGTAATACTATAAGAAAAAGATTGGCAGTAACAAGAAACTGCCAGGGGAGGGGGAGATGCAGAATTGGCAGTAACGGGAATCTGCCGGGGGAAGTAAGGGGCACATCTCATCAACAAGGGTACCTGCATAATGAACATTTGTATACCTAACCCTGAATTGTACCCCACATCTTTAAAATAATAAACAAACAAACAAATAAATGAATGTGTGGTCAGTCAATTGAATATGCACATAGAAAAAATTAATCCCTATTTTTCACCTTTTACCATACACAAAATTAATACCAGAATTATGATATTTGTAAAACTGAATGCCAAAACAAGAAAGCTCCCGGAGGAAATATATATAGAAAAACTTCTAGATATGGGGGTAAGCAAAGATTTCTTAAGATGCAAAAAACCATCACAAAAGAAAAGATTTATAATATGAACTCATTAAAATTAAAGGAAGCCGGGCTCGGTGACTCAGCCTGTAATCCTGCACCTTGGGAGGCTGAGGTGAGTGGATTACCTGAGCCCGCGGGTTCGAGACCCACCTGGGCAACTTGGTGAGACCTCATCTCTACAATAAATCAAAAAATTAGCCAGGCATGGTAGCGCATGCCTGTAATTCCAGCTACTTGGAAGGCTGAGGTGGAAGGATCGCCGGAGCCCAGCAGGTCGAGGCTGCGGTGGCCAGGAGCGGCCACTGCACTCCAGTCTGGGTGACAGAGTGAGACCCCAACTCAAAAAAAAAAAAAAAAAATTAAAGGCAAGTCTCAGTGTGTGAGGTCTTTACAATACACATATCCTACAGACAACTTGTACCCAGAAGTCACACAAAACGACAAATTGATGACAAAAAGACCATAAAAAAATGAACTAAAAGCTGGCCGTGGTGGCTCATGCCTGTAATCCCAGTACTTTGGGAGGCGGAGGTGAGAGGATTGCCTGAGCCTAGGGGTCCAAGACCATCCTGGGCGACTTGGTGAGACCACATCTCTACAATTAAAAAAAAAAAAAAAACTAGCCAGAGGTGGTGGTGCATGCCTGCAGTTCCAGCTACTTAGAAGGCTGAGGCCAGCAGGTCAAGGCTGTGGTGGCCATGAGCATGCCACTGCACAGAGTGAGACTTCCAACTAAAAAAAAGATGGGGTGGTGAAGTGGGAGGGATAAATATTTGAACAGATGGTTCACTAAAAGAAATATTCAAATGGTCAAAAATTTTGAAAAATGTAACATACTCATCAGGAAAATGCAACTTAAAACCACAAAGAGATACTACACTACTCCTGCTGAAATTGTCAAAGTGAAAAAAGACTGGTATTGCCATGGATTAGGAAGGATCAGAAACAACTACCAACTTCCACACAGAGCTAGCAGGAGTACAAGTCGGTACAACATTTCAGAAAACTTTTTTGCTGAACAAATACATAACCATATTCAATCAAAGACATGCACAAGAATAGAAACAGCATCGCTATTCATAAGAACTGAAAACTGGAAACAATAAAAATGTCCATCCACAGTGGCATGGAAAAGTGTATTGTAGTGCCATCATATTAGAACGCTACACAGCAATGAGAATGAATGAAACACAATATGAAAATACAATAAATTTCAGCTGGGCTTAGTGGTGCATGCCCATAATCCCAGCACTTTGGGAGGCCGAGGTGAGAGAATTGCCTGAGCCCACAGGTTCGAGACCAGCCTGGGCAAGCTGGAGAGACATCTCTACAATAAATCAAAAAATGAGCTGGGCATGGTGGCGCATGCCTGTAGTTCCAGCTACTCGGAAGGTTGAGGTGGAAGGATCGTCTGAGCCTAGTAGTTTGAGGCTGCGGTGGCTAAGAGCAGTGTGTCACTGCACTCCAGCCTGGTGACAGAGTGAGACTCCAAATATATATATATACACACACACACACACACACACACACACACATACACACACATATAATATATATGGTAAATTTCTCAAACATCATGCTGAGCAATGAAGTCAAAGCAAAGCAAAGTTACATGCTGTAAGATCCCATTTACATGAAGTAAGCAAAAGTGTAGAAGGTGGTAGAAATCAGGATAGAGGTTTCTTTGGGGAAGGTGAGAAATGACAGTGGCCTTATGGGCATTTCTGGGAATGCTATCTGTGCTCTATGTCTTGGTCTGGGTACCAGTTACACAGGTCTGGTGATGTTCAAATGTATTGCATTGTCCATTTATTATTCGTACTTATGTTTGCATAAAAGATATACTACTATAAAAGCTTTTAAAAATGAAATGAAACTCAAACACCTACATTGCTTTGCTTTTTCCTGCTGTGGTGAGAAGCAAACCCGACTGGCGTTGCTGCTTTCGGATTGGTTTCTAAACTGGGAGCACTTGAGGAAATTGGGCCAGGAGTAATTCACCATGCCCAGGACTGACTCACAGCCTTCCTTTGCGGCCTCACAGAAGGACCTACAGGGCAGGAGTCCATGACTAGAAGAAAAGAGAAAAGTGGAAATTAATATTTTTATAAAATCATAACGAAGTCAGAGAAAAGTTGGCCACCGCTGCTGGGATAATATCTTAATTTAATTGAAGTCAACGACTTCAATTTCTACCTTTAGTGCTATGATGATTTCAGCCACTTTGTAGCTTTGATTCTGGGGGACTACGCTAGTTCTAGACATATCATCTGACTTCTTCGTGTAGAGGCATTTACCCCAAATAATTTTTAAAAATTTTCTGTGCTAGAACATACTGGTTAGCCAAAAAGAGCTTTATTTAATATTAATAAGGGAAAATGTATGTGGCAATGAAGCCCCCAATTGCAAAGGCAGAAGTAGGTCACAAATCAGTTATCCTTGCATTTTTACCTTTTTTTTTTTTTGAGAAATTTGAAGTGTCTCTGAGACAAGTATCTCTATGCCAGAGAATAAGCTGTTCCTTAATGTTCCCAGCTTCCCTGAAAAAGAAGCATTATACCGACAAGTGGCAACTGGGGAGACCTTGTGAAGTTATTTATCTTTTCAGATCTCTTGTGTCTTCTGCCAGACAGAACAATGCAAAGAGTTGTCCATTAGTGGTAAGAGTAATGATGCCCTTAGAGTTTGTCCTTCTTCACTTGATATGCATCCACCACCCCTGAATCACAGTTCTGGGGGTGGTGACCAGGATGCCAATCAGGCCAAGGCTATGAACTTGTTTCCTTGCAGACCCAGCCAGCTGTCTCTACTTTACAACCATAGGCTGCAGCTCTCATCACGGCTGGTCACCTGGTAACAGCATTTCAGATTGTTTTAAGAAAACTGAGAAGGAAAATATGCATGTCAGTCCAATACAAGCAGACACCTCACAAATGTAAAGTCAATACTATGTCACAGAATCCTACAGGATCTGTGAGAAAACTTAAAGTTGTTACTCAAAGCCTTCATCTGAGACAGTCTAGAGACATTCTAGGACAGACTCAAGGTCACTCAATGGCAGAAGCAGGAATGGAGTACAGGCGTTGATATATATATATCTTCTGTCTTCTACAAGACAGAATAAATATATATATATATTTATATAAAATATAATATATATATATCTTCTGTCTTGTAGAAGACAGAAGATATATATATATTATATTTTATATAAATATATATTATTTTATTTTGTAAATCTATATTTTATTTTATTATAAAGGTGTGGGCTACAAGTTATAATTGGGTACATCAGTAATCTACATGCAGGTGAAGTTTGGGCCTCCAACTGACCCTTACTTGCCCTGGTTTGGGACCAGGTACCCTTTGTGTTGTTATGTGCATGCCCCCTTCCCCTCCTCCCCACCCCGACAGTGTCCCACAACTGCCGATCCCTCTCTTGTGCCATTGTGATTAATGTTCAGGTCCAACTTATGAGTGAGAACATGTGATATTCAGTTCTTTGTTTCTGTGATAGAGCACTAAGTATGATTGTCTCCAACTCCATTCAATTTGCTGCAAAGTTCATGATATTGTCCTTCTTTATGACTGTGTTACTACTCCATTGTATATATGTACCACATTTTCTTTATCCAGTCCACTTTCGATGGGCAGTAGGGTTGCTTCCATGTTTTTGCTACTGTAAATGGTGCAACAATAAGCATGTGTGAGCCGGGCTCAGTGGCTCAGCCCGTAATCCCGCACCTTGGGAGATGGAGGTGAGTGGATTGCCTGAGCCAGCGGGTTCGAGTCCCGCCTGGGCAACTTGGCGAGACCTCATCTCTACAATAAATCAAAAAAATTAGCCGGGTGTGGTAGCGTGCGCCTGTAGTTTCAGCTACTTGGAAAGCTGAGGTGGAAGGATCGCCGGAGCCCAGCAGGTCGAGGCTGCAGTGGCCAGGAGCGGCCACTGCACTCCAGTCTGGGCAACAGAGTGAGACTCCAACTCAAAAAAATAAAATAAAATAAAATAAATAAACATGTGTGTGCAGGTGTCTTTTTTGTAGATGATTTATGTTTCTCCAGATATATTCCCAGAAAGGGATTGCTGAATCATATGGAAGGTCAATTTCTAGTTCCTTTTACAATAGCCACACAATTTTTCATAGAGGTTGGATTAGTTTGCATTCCCACCAACAGTGTAGAAATGTTCCCTTTTCTCCACACTAGTGCCAGATTCTGTTGTTTTTGATTTTTTTAATGATGGTCATCCTTATTGGAGTTAGGTGGTGGGAAAAAATATTTGCTAATTGTGTATCTGACAAAGGCTTACCATCCAGGATTTACAAGGAACACAAACGAACTGAAAGGAAAAAAACAAACAGCCCTATTTAAAAAATGGTCAAAGGACATGAACACATACTTCTTAAAAGAAGATACACAAGTAGCCAACAGATATATGAAAAAATGTTCAGCCTCACTAGTCATCAGAGAAATGCAAATCAAAACCACATTGAAATACCACCTAGTTCCGGTGTTTTAAGTTTCAGTCTGTACTCAACCTATTCTCTCATATTGTCTAATCTCATATAAGGACCAAATAACTAGGCTTTTAAAACTCCTTTGATCAAACAAGCACATTTACAATACCTCATGCATATTCCTACAAACTCCAGAAGCATAAGGGGATGTGCTAGCCATTGAGGTAAAACGCAACTAATAGGGTGTGAAAAAGAAAATATTAGAAGAAAGATCTTGTCATGCATAAAAATGGAAAAGGAGACCACAACAACTCCAATCAACTAAAAAATGTTTTTAACCATCCTTTCAGAATGTCACCCTAAAACGGTATCTTTTAGCATCCTGATATTCACATAATTATCTACATAAATTTAATGTGTAACTAAATTTGACAGTGACGATGTGGAAAGAGAGGTTTTGTATTTGGAAGAATTAGCTTTAGGACATAAAGTATGAATTGGTCCAGATAAGTACCTTGGCATAAAGAAGACACCTCACTGCTATTTGGGAAATATATTAGAGATTTATAGGACTAAGAAAGTATCACTTAAATAATATTGTTTAAAAATATTTCCTGTCCTAAATATTCGAGAGAGGTTAGAGACTAGATTTTTTTCAAATAAGACTAAAGCACACAGTTAAGGAATGTGGAGAACGTAAAATTACTACATAATTCCTTGTCCTTTGCCAGGCATGGCTCTAAGGGCTACACATGCATTGCCTCACTTAGGTCTCACGACAGCCCTATGTGATTAGTACCATAACTATCATCCCTAAAACAAAAATTACGGAACTGAAGCACAGAAAAACAAAAATAAAAAATTTGTTCAAGTTCACTGAGGTAATGAGTGTTAGAGATTAGGATTAGAGTTTAGGCAGATTGAACCAAGGATCCATTCTATTAACCACTGTACTCCAGGTAAGTTCCAACATCATGGATGTGTGTTTCCAAAGCACAACTCAAGGACAGAGTAAAACTTGTTATGCCCATGGCAGTGGCACAACCATATACATGGTGGTTGGGATTGCCCTTCATTCTGCAAAAGCCTAGAAAAACTGGAACGGATCAGTATCTGTCCAAGGGGTCAAGGAACACAAGTAAAGGGTAAAGGTATTTCTGCTTTCTTTTCCAGGTGTGAGTATGCCCACAGGAAAGCTGTAAAACAAAACAGTCTTGTCTTTGACATTCCTCTTTTGTCTCCTAGTCCCTGCCCAGGGTCTCAAGGTCCTGATGCCATCCTGACCACCTGATGCCACAATTCAACCAGTTACTTCTACCAGAGTATTTCAAAACACATTCTTCCCTCCCTACAATCGAAACTGCACTCATTTTGAGAGATGTCTGTGCATAAAGAGTACAGAATGGCGTAAAGGACATTGGAGGCTCAGAATGGGGAGGAGGAGAAAGGGGAAGGGATGAAAGATCACCTGTCTGGTACAATGTGCACTAGCAGGAGTGATGGATACATGTCCAGCCCAGACTTCTTCACCACTGTACAGAGCAGCCATGTAACCTAAATATCACGTGTACCCTTAAAGCCATTAAAATAAGGACAACTATAAAAAAAAAAAAAACTGTATACACTCCCACACATGCAGACAAAAGATTGGAAGGAGTTACAATAAATTGTTAACAGCATTTAATAATAATAATAATAATAATAATAATAATAATAAATTACACTCCCAACTGTAGCTGATCTCAATTAGGCTTTCAAATAAAAAGAGAGATGAAAACACACACACACGCACACACACTAATATATAATAATAGATAGATATTTAACCCTCCCGGGGACTTTTGCATCATTAAAAAGAGACTGCTTACTATGTCAAGGGAATCTCTAAATGATGAAATTCCAGATACCATGTAAAGGTGAGGGGTGAAGAGTCATCCAACATTTTTGGAAGATGGGGAAAATCCACCTGCAAAGCTGAATGACACTCCAGGACCCAACTCTCCCGAGTGGTTCTTGGACTTTTCCTCACTTATGATCTCACCTATTTTTAAAATTATTCCATGTCTTTTCTCAGAATCTGCTAGGGCAACAGCAATGAAGTTTCACGCAGGGACCCAGCAGACTCTGAATGCTCTGAAGTTAAGTGTTTAACTCAGAACTGACTCATCATCATTGACTCTTACCCTGATCAGTTTTCTGCAGGAAAACCTACGTCTGTCATCCCCAGCTCTCACATGGCCTCTCCTCCACTGTCTGATCTTGGGCCAATAGTTCATTTATGCCAAGACTCGGTTTCCTCACTTGAAAAGCTCGGAAGAGCTGGAGTCCAGACTGTTTTTCATGGTCATTTTACACCAACATTCTGTAAATCAAAATTCATTCTTTAAGGTAATGCTTCTCAGAGGCTCATTGATACTCCTACCAGTTTTGCTAAATTCCAAAAGGTCACAAACATTTTTCTCAAAATGCATTCTGGGAATATATGGAGACATTAAAACATCATCAGGCCCTCCATTCTAAAAACAAGGCCTAAGAAAAATGTCGAGAGTGTTTCCAAACAGCTCTCTTCAGGTGTAACCAACTGAGACCCATATGCTTTAAGCTCCTGGGC